AGAAGAATCGCCTAAGCCCAGGAGTTGGAGGTTGCTGGAGCGACTCCGCTGCACTCTACCGAGGGCGAAAAAGTGAGACTCTGTCTCTACAAAAAAAAAAAAAAAGAAGGGATTTTATAAGCTCTTAGATCCCAAAACCTGTCCACTCTGGACAAGATAGGAGCACCATAGTAGTAGGGATATTCAAGAGGTACATGTTCTTGCCTTGTCTTGAAGGTAGGTCCCAGTCCCTTCTGGCCATCAATTCTTCTTTTCTCCTGTCTAGAGGAGGACTCAGCCATCCCTATTACGGTCCCTGGCCGCCTGCCTGTGTCCCTCGCAGGCCACCCTGTGGTTGCAGCCCAGGCAGCAGCAGTGCAAGCAGCAGCTGCCCAAGCAGCTGTGGCAGCACAGGCAGCTGCTCTGGAGCAGCTTCGGGAGAAGCTGGAGTCTGGGGAGCCTCCTGAGAAGAAGATGGCCCTGGTAACTGACGAGCAGCAACGGCTCATGCAGCGAGCTCTGCAGCAGAACTTCCTGGCTATGACAGCCCAGCTGCCAATGAGCATACGGATCAACAGCCAAGGTACCAACCCAGTGGTGGACTCTGCATGTGTAGCAAAATAGAGGTCTTAAAGCTAACATGTGTAAAGAGTGCCTATAAATCAATAAGAAAAAAAATAGTAGAAAAAAGATGCAGGTGTGACTAGTAAGTTCATATGAAAAGGTGTTCAACTCCATCTAATTAGGGATCTACAAATTAAGACAAAATTGTCAGCTTGGAGCCTATAGCTCAGTGGCTAGGGCGCAGGCCACATACACTGGGGCTGACGGGTTCAAACCCAGCCTGCCTGGCCCAGGCCTGCCAAACAACAATGACAACTACAAAAAAAAAAAAAAATAGGCCTTGTGGTGGGCACCTGTAGTCCCAGCTACTTGGGAGGTTGAGGCAAGAGGATTGCTTAAGCCCAAGAGTTTGAGGTAGATGCCACGGCATTCTAGGAAGGATGACATAGTGAGACTCTCTCAAAAAGAAAAAAAGAAGAAATTGTCATCCAACCAGAGCTACATAGTATAAAGTATTGGTCAAGATGTAGGGAAAAGGGAAATAGGCTCCCTTGGGGCTGCTGGTGGAAAGGTAAATAGGTGACAATTTGGCAGTTTTCTCCCCCGGGGATAGTAGGTGGGAAGGCAAAGTCTGGCTGTTTCTCAGGCTGGAATGCAGTGGCATCATCATAGCTCACTGCACCCTCCAACTCCTGGACTCAAGCAGTCCTCCTGCCTCAGCCTCCCACGTATCTGGGACTACAGGTGTGCACCACCACTTCTGGCTAATTTTTCTATTTTTTGTAGCGATAGGATATGGCTGTGTTGCCCAGGCTGATCTCAAACTTCTGGCCTCAAGCAATTCTCCTGCCCCAGCCTCCCAGAGTTCTGGGAGTACAGGTGTGAGCCACTGCATCTGGCCAACAATCTCTTTTAAAATAGAAAATGTGTTTTCCCTGTGGCCTATTGATTCTGTTTGGTATCTATAGCAGAGAACATTAGTACACAAGGAAACACATATTTATAAGGATGTTCATTGTGGTCATTTGCATAATGTCATTTGTAGTAGTGAACCCTTGAATCAACTTGAAGTGTCCATCAGGAAGGAATGAATAAATCAAGTCACAATTTTAAAAGAATGAGATGATTTGGGTGCGCTGATATCTCTTAAGTCTTAAACCATGACAACAGCAAAGATATGCTTTTTTTTTTTTTTTGAGGGGGGGACAGAGTCCACTCTGAGTGGAGTACTGTGGCATCATAGCTCATAGCAACCTCAAACTCTCAAGGGATCCTCTTGCCTCAGCTTCTCAAGTAGCTGGGACTAAGGTGCCTGCCAAAATGTCCAGCTAGTTTTTCTATTTTTAGTAGAGATGGGGTCTGACTGTGGTTTTCAGGCTGGTCTTAAAGTCCTGAGCGCAAGCTATCCTCCTCAGCTTCCCAGAGTGTTAGAATTACAGGCGTGAGCCACTGCACCCAACCTTAAATATACACTCTTATTCAACACATACATGTTGAGTACCTGCTGTGTACACGGATGATAGAGCATAATTGTGAAAATATAGTCCTCACCTTTGTGAAGCTAGTCTAATAGGTGAGACACACAAAAAGAATACTTCCTAGGGCTGGGCACCTGTAGCTGAAGTGACTAAGGCACCAGCCACATATACCAGAGCTGATGGGTTCAAATCCAGCCTGGGCCTGCCAAACAATAATGACAACTACAACCAAAAAGTAGCCTGGTATTGTGGTGGGTGCCTGTAGTCCCTACTCAGGAGGTAGAGGCAAGAGAATCACAAGCCCAGGAGTTGGAGGTTGTTGTGAGCTGTGATGCCACAGCACTCAACCCAGGGTAACAGCTTGAGGCTCTGTATCAAAAAGCAAACAAACAAACAAAAAACAGTTTCTAGATCTATTTATGATTATAAACGGATGGTTTTTCTCCTTTCCACAGCCTCCGAGAGCCGCCAGGACTTAGCTGTGAACTTGACTGGCACCAACGGCAGCAACAGTATTAGCATGTCTGTTGAGATTAATGGCATCATGTACACAGGTAGGATGGCCCTGGTCCCACTCAGCACTGTGCTCTGCACAAAGTAGTCAACAAATACAGATTCATTGCTATGCTGAGTTTTCCAAATTTCCTTCTTAAAAAACGTGGAGTTCGGGGCCACGCCTGTGGCTCAGTGGGTGGGACACTGGCCCCATATGCCGAGGGTGGTGGGTTCAAACCCATCCCTGGCCAAACTGCAAAAACAACAACAACAAAAATACCCAGCGCCTGTAGTCCCAGCTGCTCGGGAGGCTGAGGCAAGAGAATCGCCTAAGCCTAGGAGTTGGAGGTTGCTGTGAGCTGTGTGATGCCATGGCACTCTACTGAGGGTGATAAAGTAAGAGAGACTGTCTCTACAAAAGAAAAAAAAAAATACATGGAGTTGGGCTTATGGTTCATAGATGCCACTAGGTCGTGCTGTCAGCACAGAGCAGTCTGGTTGCTGTGTGTACAGAGGACAAAGCAAATGGAGAAGTGGCTAATGGGAGGTCATTTTTTTTTTTTTTTTTTTTTGAGACAGAGCCTCAAGCTGTCCCCCTGGGTAGAGTGCCGTGGCATCACAGCTCACAGCAACCTCCAACTCCTGGGCTTAAGCGAGTCTCCTGCCTCAGCCTCCCAAGTAGCTGGGACCACAGGCACCCGCCACAATGCCCGGCTATTTTTTGTTTGCTGCAGCCATTATTGTTTGGCGGGTCCGGGCTGGGGATTCGAACCCGCCACCTTAGGTGTATGTGGCTGGCGCCTTAGCCAGTTGAGCTATAGGCGCCGAGCCGGGAGGTCATTTTTGTCCTAGGGGGTCCATAGATGGCCTTTTGGAGGGGTCAGTATACTCCTGAAATACAGGCAAAATGTGTATACTTTCATATTGAATCTTACAAGGACAGGAGCCAGCCATGTACATATCCAGCCTATGGCCCCACATCACCAGCAAATAACCACTGGGAATTGCGGGGGGTCTCTGTACAAGAGCTGTGTGCATGTGTGTACATGTGCTCAGTGTGCAAATATACATATATGTACACATAGGTGTATGTGATGTATGAGCACCCACGGTTGAGAAGTTTATAAATTGGGAGCACCGTGTTGATCTCTCTTATCTGCCTCATGTTTTTTAAACTCCACGACATGTCTCTTCTATCCTTCCATTAGGAGTGTTGTTTGCTCAGCCACCAGCCGCCATGTCATCCTCAGCTTCCAACAAAGGCAGCAGTGGAGGTGGCAGTGGTGGCGGCTGTAGCAGCAGTGCTGGTGGCGGCGGTAGCAGCGGGAGCAACACAGGCAGCCGGGGAGGAAACAGCGGGACCAGCAGCAGTGCGGGCAGCCAGGCTGGGCCAGCAGGGTCATCTGCAACCCCCACATCTTCTACCTCAAATAATTCTACATTGCCTTAACCGCCTCACTTCCCACCTGCCACCTTCTAGGAGCCCACCAGACTGGGATCAAGGGGATCAAGGTGGGCCAGGCAGGGGCCAGGATGGCGGAAGATACATACGGGTGGGGAAGGAAGATATCCACAGAGGAGCCACAGCTGACGCCAAAAAGAAAAGGGAAAAAAAAAAAAAAAAAAAAAAAAAAAAAAAAAAATATATATATATATATATACACACACATATATATATAAAGGAAATTTAATAAAACAGGGGAAAACCAAGGAACACTTGAATTTCTCAGGTTTTGGACATTCAGAGAGATGAATTGTGAGGACAGCAAAGGGAATTAGAACACAGAAAGAGGCAGGTATTTCCTAGGTTTTTCCTGAGGTCCTGGTGAACTGAAGGCTCTGGTGTCTACTTAGGACCAGCTGCAATGTCAGGCCAATCCTGTTTACCTCATACACCCCTGTACTGTGTGTTTTCATTTTTGTCTGGTTTTTCTTTTTTTATTTTTCTTTTTTTTTATTCATCACACACTCACCACTCCAAGCTCTTTGTGTTGAATGAAACCCCTGAACTGAGATCACTGAATTTTTTTTTTCTTGTTGCTTTAGGAACTTTTTTCTTTTTAAAGTAATAGTGACATTCAGACTCTATGGGGACTTTGTAATAAGTTTCAGGGGTTTTGTTTTGTAAATATTTTATTTTATTCTTAGGGGAGGGAATCAAACCTTAGGAAAAGGATATCTATATATCTGTATACATGTGTTCATTCAGGGAAACCTAACTTAAAAAAGCAAAAACAAGACAAAAAAGTAATAACCTTTTTATTTTTCCCATGACTGATTTGGGTTCATTTGTTTCCTGGGGTGCATTGGGCAGTGCCCAGGACACTGGATCCCTGGGGCTGGAGCCATGGATGTGATGAACTCAGGTGCTGCAGGCCAGGCAGGCAGGGTGGGAGGTACATGTGTGGGGTCTGTGAGGGGCTGGGGGGATGGTGGGGTGATGTTGAATTGCTGACTGTGATATTCCATGATACTGTTTCTTATGCTGTGCTCTATGCAGGTTCAGGCACTCGAGTCAGGGACTTGGAAGTCTTAACTAGAAAGTGCTAGAAATGGGGCCCCGGAGGGTGGGAGGGGGCATCCCTCATCACAGCCCCCAGGTTCCTGTCTCAGGGGTGAATATATGGGTGGCTTGGGATTCTTCTCTTGCCTGGAAGGGCTGCTTTGGGAGAGTATCGATATTGGGGAGTGGGGGTGAAGCTGGGTGGGGATTTGAGGGCCATGTCACCCTAAACCCCTCACCCCCCAACATTCTCAGCTCCTTTTGTCTCTCCCTGCCCCTTTGTCGCAGGGCTAGAGCTCTCCAAATTCCTCACAGTGACAAGACCTAGCCCTCGCCCTATTTGTTGGGAACCCCCTCCCTCTCCCTCCGGGTTAGCAGAAAGTGGAGCCCAGAATGCTAAGCTGGGTTTACTATCTGAACCTCCAGAGACCTGCTCTGTGTTAGGCGAGACTGTTGCATCCTACCGGGCAGCACCTGGTTTTTCACTTCACTTGGGGTGGAGGAGGATTAACTCAGCTGTTCCCAGGATGCTCCTGAAGTCCCTAATTGGTCCCAGGGAGCCTAACAAGGCCTCCTCAGCTCCCCCTCCACCCCCACAGCCAAACCAGTTGCCTTGAAGATGAGGGTGAAGCAGGGCAGTGGGTGGGATCCTAAACCCTCAGAGTCTAAATTTGCATTCCTATCAGGCAGCAGTGTGTCTTTGTGGAAGGAACCCCTCTTTCTTTTCAGGTCTCAGGGTCACTGTCACACACCCCTTTCCAGGAGGGGAGGTGGACATCCCAGGGGTTTCCTCTTGGCTTTTTCTTCTGAAAGGTTCTCTCTGTCCCATCTCTTGGACAGGGGCCTTGGCAGCACAAGTGTCCTGGGGAGGTGGGGATCTTTTTGTCTTATGACATTATCTTGCCCGACTGTGAGAACCATTTGGATGCATCCAGATTTGGCCCCCATGCCAGCCCCTCTCCCCTGCAAAGTTGGCCACCTCTCAGGGCTCAAATCACATCAGGGCCCCTGTGCCAGGGGAAATGCCTGCTACACATTTCTTTCTACCTCAGGTCTCACTTAATGATGCCAAAACCTGCACCCCTTGGGTACCTCCTCTCCCTCCCATATGATACTCTGCCTCAAGGTCTGAGTGGGCACTTAGCCTGAGAGGCCAGGCTAGGCAGGACCACAGGGTTGGGGCATCTCTCTCAGATGGCATGTGCTGTGGTGCATGTAGGTCCTTCAGGGATCCAGTCTCCTGGCAGCGGGTAGATGGGGCTCTAACTCAGGGGACTAGGGCTGCTATTGCATTTAGCGATAATAGGGGCAGGTGGGCACAGGGGCTTATGGCCTATCGGCTTAGCTGACTCTAGCAGAAGTAGGTGGGAGGCAGTGGCCATGCTGGCCTTGGAATTGTGACATGTCCTCACAGTGGTTTTTAGTGCCTCTATTGAACCCCCTACCACACCTATCTCCCAGGGCAGCTTTTTGGGGTACACCTGGGCACTCCATTGTGGAAACTGGGCTGGGGAAGGTGACATGTTTCAGCTTCAAGGAGCCTGGATGTATGCAGCTGGTTTGGGGATGGGGGCGCTTAACTGTGTGGCAGGTGGGAACCCTGCATACTCAGGGCCAATGGCCCCCAGTCTGGAGATTTTTGTGGATAGCCTACTTCCAGGCTTCTTTGGGACCTTTGGGCTGGCCACAGGGCTACCTGGCCATCTGCTGTCAGGACAGGTGGGAGGGTTGGGATGGGGCCATGGGGGTGGTTGGGTTAGTTTTTTAATAATTGTGCATTTGTACAGTCACTTTTTTTCTTTTACCATTTTTGCCCACTTTGTTCCTTTTCTCCCCCCTAATTTTGCTTTTGCATTTTTTTCTCCCTTAGCAAACATAAATTCAGTCTTTCATTCTTGACATGTGAAATTTCAGTTTCTCTGGCGTGGGGACCACGCCTGATCTCAGGTAAAAAAAAAAAAAAAAAAAGGAAAAAAAAAACTTAAAAAAATAAAAAGGTATAAACTACTCTCTACCTCTGGCTGGGCTCAGCCTGTCATGCCCTGGCTGTGGCTGGGTGGCCTGTAATAATTTCAGATTTTGCAGAACATTCAGGTATTAAGGGGGTGGGGCAAAATGACTAAAAACAAAGTGTGATTTTGAAATTTAAAAGAACACTGAAAGTTTACATTTTATAATAACATTATTATGCAGATTGTATTTAAACTTCAGAAATATTTAAAACAATGTAATCCTGTAAAGCTGATGAGATATTAAAACAAGACAAAACACTTCTTTTAACAGAGAACACTGTCTTCTGTTATGGTTTATTTGCCAGATTCTCCATCCAGGTCCTCTTCTGCTACCTATTTGTCTTTGGGTCTGGTTCCAGATAGTAAAAGGCAACAGCTAAAGCAGGGTCCATCAAGGACTTTCCCCTCAAGGGACCCTGGCTGATATCTGGGGACATCTATGGTTGTCACCACTGGGATGCTTCTGGCATGGAGTGGAGACAGGGACACTGCTCAGCAGCTGTAGGGCCCAGGATGGCCCCATGAGAGAGTGATCCAGTCTGTATAGACTGAGAGACCCTGGACTGTCATGGTTGAAGGGGACTCCGTAATCTGGACATCTCCCTCTGGATGTTACTCTCCTTTTTTTTTTTTTTTTTTTTTG